TGATAGCTTATGTGCTACTCTTCAAATATGTATATTCAATATCCATTCACCTTCCCAAATAGCAAAGATGCAAAAAAAATGAGGACAAAACTTACGAAACATCCTATGACAATTGGATTGATTATTCAAGATAATCATAAAACCATCAACCAATAAAATCTAGAATCTCTTTCGACTAATTTGACTCTGCTATCATCATTTGTCTTTGGTCTATGTCAAATTGTATTATCTAAATCTTGTTTTCCACATCAATCTCAATTGTGTTTTGATATTATTCAAAAACGATTGTCTGTCAAATAGAGATAACGTACTAAAAATAGAAACGATATTCTATAAGAGACAAGGCCTTGATATCTTAACAACCAATTAAAAGAATTTTAAACAAATTGGATCTATTGAGTTTACTGAAGATTATTTGAATAACATATAGAGAAGACAAGGATGTATCTGTTGAAAGAACGTATTCCATAATTTTCATGCATCATCAAGGTCGCTTTAAATTTGAATATTAGATAGATAAATGATGAATTTCTCTAATTCATTGAAAATATAGTTGATTAATAAAGGCTTTTTTTGTTTTTATTATTCTCTTCTACATTGTAATCAAGGCACATATGCTACCCACTTTTATCACATATTCTCAGAAGATATAAAAATTAGTCACAAGGAACAAAAAGAAGACAATGATTAATAGACAGATGAACAAGCTACATTTCCAAATATGCATTCAAACTTATTAGTATCTCAAGTTATCAAAAACATGAAGACTTCGTTAAGCAATAGAAAAAAAAACACATCAACTATATTAAATATCCATAGATGTGTGTAAATATCGTAATTGTTTACACATAAACTCATTTTTATTACCTACTTCAAGTACATATATATATATTTGTTCGGTTATTTTAGTAAACAATCGGAGTATAAAGAATTTACAATTTTCTTTTTTCTATAAAGATAGTGTCAAGAGAATCTATCTGATTGACTAAATGCAAATGTAGTCATATGACAATAGATTGCATTTAATATAAAACTCAAAGAAACTACAATTTTTTCCTAACAATTGATTTTCGTATATTCAATGGATACTATCGGTATGAATTTTTCATTTAAACTTTTGTTTTAAAAAATAAAATAAAATAAAATAGTTATAACTATCAAACATTTTAACTCGATTAACTTATTTATTTTCTCAATAGTTTTAATTAAGTTAATATGTTCAATAGCATAGATGAAAAATATATGTATCCAATGATATATTTAGAATTGTGAGCAACTGAGAACAATATTTTGAAAATTAAAACTACTCTAATTCGATTTTGTTTTGTTTACTAAGATAGAAAACATTTTCAATATATGATATGAGGAAATTTAGATAACACCTCTATCAGTATAATTACTAATATTTTATTTCAACATGACGTTCCTACATCAGATTATTCTCTGTTTACTTTTACATGTTCACTATGACTTATATCACCTTTTTTTTTCCTCATTTTACCTTGTTGATCTATTGACTAGCTGAAATGAGAAACAAAATACGAAGAAAGTAAGACGTCAAAAGCACACGGAAAAGATTATTAAGAAAATTTGAAGATATCATCATTATCTTCTGATATAATAAAGAAAAAGAGAAATCTTTATTAGAACATTTAGGAGCAACAAGTTGATTATGGAATGTTAATACTTAAGGTGAGTGTCGCTTATTTATGAACAACAATATGACTAATAGTTCCATTTTTTTGATATCATGAACAATATGTTGAAAAGTATGTTCATTATTGAATAGGTTCACTATTATAGCTGCTATAGTCAAAATTTATAACTAGAATTGATCGATTTACTTTATTATGAAACTTTCCAAAACATAGTTTAAATACGAAACTATGTATGTTTGATACCTATAGTTTCAATACAAATGATTAAAATCTTCATGTTTTATTCATAGTTGTTAACATCAGGAAAATCTTTAATAGTGTACAGCAAAGAAAACATAGTTTCACTCATACTCGATATATAAATACACAAAAGAAAAATGTAACTTATAAATAAATCCACAGAAAAATTATTTAGAGAAGAATTTATAAATGTTGATTTTCTAAAGTCAAAAAATAAAAATGTTGAAATACAATATATTTTCATCTATGCTATCAAACATTAATGAAATCAAAGTGAATACTATTTTAACTTAATTAAATCTGCTTAAAAAATAAAGAAATAAATCGAGTTCAAATAGTTGATAGTTATAATTCGATCAATTTTAACTGCAATAATGTTTGCAATAGAAATTAGACTTAATTACTAGCTTCTAATTTCTTTTTAATAAGCTTTTAGAAAAATAAGATAATGCCTGGTTTTTTTTAATTCTTTCTTCAAAAATAGAAATTGATATTTGAGAATCGAATAAACACACTTCCATCTTTTTTTTTTAATTCTAATAATCGAATTACGTGAGTCTAGTTTAACCAATTTGTTATTTGATCTATGATATATAGAAGGAAGTGAAAATATTCAAGAAAGTGAAGAGACAAAAAAGCTCACAATTTTGACAAATATTAATAATAATACTCATCGGAAAATAAGCGCCACGGAGCAACTAGTTATATTGACAAGATCGGCTTTGGCATTACCTCCGCCATCGCCTACTGTTCCGCGAGATTTATGGACAAATAAAGCTGAATTTCTTCTATCGGTTATTGGCTATGTTGTTGATCTTGGTAAGAAAATTAAAATAAAATTTAATTTATTGATTTTATTTTAATGATTAGGTAATGTCTGGCGATTTCCTTATGTATGTTATGACAATGGTGGTGGTGCATTTCTTATTCCGTATATGATATTTTTATGTGTTATTGGTATACCAATGATGTAAATTCACTTTTTTATTAAGAAAAAGAAAAAGAAATTTTTTGTAATATTTAAGGTATCTTGAATTATTTCTTGGTCAATTTTATCGTTGTGGTAATATAACACTTTGGGGTAGAATAGCTCCATCAATGAAAGGTATTGGTATAGCATCGTTTCTTATTGTCACTGCTGTAACATTATTTTATACAACAATAATTGGTATTAATAAAAATCGTTTTTGTATTTATTGTCAATATAATTTTCTTTATTTTCTTAGCTCATGCTGTTTTTTATTTATTTTCATCATTTCGTGAAGTAATGCCTTGGAGTTTATGTTCACATACATGGAATACACATTTATGTTCTGAACGTATGCGTATTGAAAATGAGTCAAATGATACTATTGAACAAATAAATTTTAATGAAATAAATAATTTTTTTTCTTTAAATCAAACACAAAAAATGAATTCAATTATTGAATCAAAAATTTCATCAGCTGATGAATATTATAATATTTATATGTTAGGTATTAATAATTCAAAAGGTTTAACTGATTTGGGTAGTATTAAAATTGATTTACTTACATGTTTAATATCAATATTTGTTCTTATGTATATGTGTATTTATCGTGGAGTTAAAAGTACAGGTAGAATAAAAAAAGAAATCATCATTTTTTAGAAAAAGTTTTCAAAATATTTTTATTTTTATTTTTTTTTATAGGTAAAGCTGTTTATGTAACAGCTACATTACCATATATTGTATTAATAATATTACTTATACAAGGTTTACATTTAAAAGGTTCACGTAGTGGTATAACATATTTTTTAAGACCATCATTTAATAGATTAAAAGATATGAAAGTTTGGTATTCAGCAGCAAATCAAATATTTTTTACACTTGGTCCTGGTTTATCTGTATTAACAACTTATGGTTCATATAATGTTTCAAGTAATAATTGTTATTATGATGCATTAATTGCTGTTGTAGCTAATTTTGCTGCAAGTTTTCTTTCTGGTTTTGTTGTTTTTTCGGCATTAGGTCATATGTCATGGCGTTTAAAAAAAAAAATTGAAAATGTTGTTGATCAAGGACCAAGTTTATCATTTATTGCTTATCCAGAAATATTAGCAACATTTAAATATCCAGCACTTTTTTCTATATTATTTTTTCTCATGGTTATTAATTTAGGACTTGATAGTGATTTTGGTGGTTTAGAAGCAATGTATACAGCATTAAGTGACGAATATCCTTTATTAAAACGTCATAGAAAATCTGGAATGCTCATTATGTGTTGTTTATTAATTATTGCATGTTTGCCAACAGTTACTCAAGGTTAATTGGCATATATATATATATGTTTATTTATTAAAAAGAAAATAATTAAAATAAATAAATTATTTTTATATTTTTTTTTTTGTTAGGTGGCAATTATATCGTGCAATTTTTGGATAAATTTTCAACAGCTCCAGCACTTATGCTTGTTGTAATGATGGAAGCTATTGCTGCTAGTTGGGTAAGTTTTAATAAGTATTCAAAAAAAAAAAAAAAAAAAAGAAAATTATTATTATAAAAAATAAAAAACGTTGTAGGTTTATGGTATTAATAATCTTGTGAATGATATTCGTACACAATTAGGTTTTGCACCAAATCGTTTTTTTCGTCTTGCTTGGACAGTTTTATGTCCTGTTATTATCATAATACTTATGATATTAGCATTAACTTATTCAGATGAATTAAAATATGGTGATTATATATTTCCATCATGGTCAATTATATTTGGTTGGTGTCTTAATATGTGTTTTATTTTACCAATTCCAATTGTCATGCTTTATGCATTTATTCGATATACTGATTCAAGAAATTCTTTAAAACAACGTTTTTATCTTTTATTTGTACCTGATATAACAAAACGTAGGGTTAAACAACAAATTGAGAATGGTACTAATTTTACAATGTCGTCATTATCACCTATTTCACATGTTTAATTGTTGTTTATTTGTTCGTATATCATTTAGATAGTTCTTTATAAATTAATATAATAATTAGATATGTATGTGTTTTATTTTATTGGTCATTTTTTTATTATTAGATACAATATAGAAAAGAAATAAATAATGGCATATATATATATTTATATATAATATATACATGCATCACGAATTTATTGATGATGATTGAAGTGAAAGCAATTTCCGATTATTGTCATCAGTGGGTTGGGTTGTGGATAGTAATATTGGTTTATCGATAATGGGTTTCTCCTGTTTTTTTTCCTCTGATGATCGACGGGGCGCCCCAAGTTGACGACAACAGAGAACGCTCATAGCTGCGTCTCTAAAATCACTGGATGTTAACCAATATATAATAAATGATGTGACATGACTTGTCGTTGCTAAGTTGCTCAAACTCATTGTTATTAAGTTTCTATGTAATTTAACCCTTTTTCCAAAAAAAATATAAAATATAGCAGCAGGTGAAGTAAACATAATGAAAAATATTGTTATTAATATTAATGTTTTTGTTAATCGACCACCACCACCACCACTTGATTTCGAACGACCACTACCTCTATTAAATTGTGAATTTATTTTTGATTTTCGTGTTCGTCTATGAGATGCTCTAACTTGACGACTTATTGATATATTAGATAAAATCATTAATGTAAATGGAATAAAATTATATAATAATAAATGAGCTATTTCCCAAAATTGAAAAAAACTTGATTGATAACATTCAACTCTTTGTTTTGTTTGATTATATTCATCATAATATAGAACACGTTTTCCATTAATAATCCATATAGGTAAATTAATAAGACCTATAAGAAAAATAAGAATCCAAGTAACACGATGTATTATAATTGATTTTGATAACCATTTTTTTAATGACCATTGAGATTGTAATGAAACACATCGTGTAAATGTTGCTAATGTTTTAAGCCATGCAGCACATTGAAGAGAAAAATATGCACTATAGGATATTAATTTACATATAAATAATGAATGTTGTTCTAAATTTTTATATGAACTAGTTTTTTGATATTTCCATATTAATTCTCGTACAACATAATTTATATTCCATGTAAATGGTATTAATAATTCAATAAGTGCTAAATAAGAAAAGACAATTATTGTTGAATTTGAACGATTTGGTGCAAGACGTTTATATATATAAAAACAAAGAAGATTTAATGGTGTACCAACAAGAATAAGAATAAGAGAATATAAACCAGCTAAAGTATGTGCAATATCAATTAATATCATTTTCGTTTTTATTTATTCTATTAAATAAAAAATAAAAACAAGAAAACAAATAGAAAAGTATATATATATATATTATATAGATTGAGATGATCAGTCTGACCGAATAACCCAATTTTCTTTCTTTCTATTATCAGTTAAAAACCTAATTATATTCGGGTCAAATTATTACTCTCATCGCTAAATTACTAAATTCAAAATATTAGCTGTTGATTGATGTGTTATATGAAATTATTCAGTCGCTAAAATCGTGTCCTGTCATTCTCAAGGAACTCAATAATTTTATATAAGACAGCCATCATCAGCTAATATGCTAAATTTAGTAGTTTAATGATGAGGGTGATAATTTGGCTCGAATATGAAGAGGTTTTTAACTGATAATAGAAAGAAAACAAATTAGATCACCAGGTCAGACCGATCATCCTCATATATATGAACTTGATTCTATACGTATGAAAATTCTATTATGCATATTTGTTTTTCAAAAATGATGCATTTTCTAAGCATTTATTTTTGATTTCTAATAAGACATATTTATATATTAAGTATATTATTCAAATTTGATTATTTATTTAGGAAAACTTAGAAATAATATTTGCCTATTGTTTACTTCTCTTCCATAAATAATGATATTAATCATTGTTGATATCTTTAATACGAACTAAACTAAGAAATATATATTCTTTATTTTTAAAATCATACTCTTTCATGTATATTATTACTTCTATTTGCTTACATGACTTAATTGTATTTGAACGACAGGTTTTTTTTTATATAAAAAAAAATTACAATTATGGAAAATGTTGCAAAAAATTTCATGAAAATAAGACTAAAAAATAAATATGAATATTATTTAACTTACTGTATAAAATTTATAATAATGTTCGATCAAATGAGTTGTTAAAGTTTTTGAATATTATTGAAAAATAAATAATCTTATAAACTAGAGCTACTAAATACCTTTGGCAGGTCTAGTTTGTTGCAATCTTTTAATTTGTGTTTGCTTCTAGATTTGCTTTAACGGTGCAGGAAAAAAACCGACAACGTAGAAAATGGTTACATTTCCTTTTTTTTTCTCTGCAGTATGTCGTCAAAACAATCTATTGCTCTCATAACGCATCGTTTGTTATTTCCAGTATTTTTCACTCTCTTTATATTTGTTGACAGTCCTAAGAATCTACACATATAATCGGTAGAAATAATACAAATATATTGATAGACATTGCACCAGTTTTAACAACTTCTATTTTTCTATCATTATTGGTTGACATTAATTTCATGGAAAACTATGTAGATAGACGCCACCTGTCATATTCGAAAATGTACTTAAAAGACGTTATTGAAAATGCAAAAATATCGATGTCTTATTAAGTATGTACGTATATTTCTATACAGTTAGATTTAATATACATATTATTTGTTCAAGAAAGATAAAGAAAAACCAGAAACAAATATTTAAGTCTGCTAAAATCCATTGAAGAAATTAGGCAGACAAACAGAACTATAACTGAAAGTCAACAAATACTATGTTATTGCCTTGAGATATACATCAATTCTAGAAGAAAGAACAAAACTATGACTTGTCTATCTGATAACAGATCAATCAAGCACAGACAGTTCTAAATAATAATACACTACGAACTGATATATATTGTGTATTACGGACTACGTACAATATTTTTCTAAATAACTATTTTAAACTATATTAATTATGACGTAGTATATTGTTATTAATGATGGACTATAATGAAAATTAATCACTAAAAAAAACTATATATATATAATAACCTCATCAATTTATAAAGTGTTAACATAATAAATTTATTGATGACAGACTGATATAGTACGTGAAATAAAATAATTCTTAATAGTCTTCTTGTTTTCAGAATATGCACTGAAATAATATTCGTAATTATTATTAATAAACATTTTACTTTTAAAAATAGATCTATGTGTTAGTACAAAGAACATAATATATATTTTTTTTATTTTGACTGACATTTCTAAGGATAGTAGTTTTATATTTTCTCAAAAGGCCAATAGTCAATTTATGTTTACATGTCAAATAATCAATAGAGAAGAAATTTTTTGTTTATATATAATGTTATACTAATGTATTAAAACATGTCTATAAAACAGACAATTCGTTTATTTAATTAACGAAATTGTTTGTTGACGAATTCAAGATATTTATTTGACAGTTATGATTTAAAAGAATTAATTATCATCATGTTGATATTATATAAAAACAAGTTTGCTATAAATAGTTCTATAGATAAACTTCATTTGACTTGAAATTCAAGATTAATAGAAGATTTTAATATATTATCTTATATAATTATTTCTTATCTTAAAATTTTTTTATGTAGAATAAGTATTTGTTTTTTGGTATCTTTTCTTGTTGATCTTGCAGTATTAGAAGAAAAAAAAAACAAAAATATATATTAGATGGTTTTTTTTTTGCTATTTTGTCAATAAAGAGTATGATAGTATGTGTTGACAGAAAACTTGTCAATTTAGACATTTGTTTGTACATTTCAATAATGAATTTGTTGTTGATTGAAGGACATGAAAAGAAAATTTGAATTGTACATCTGACTATTAAACTCTATATCAATGTACGAAATTATAATTAAATCAACAATCTATTAATTATAAATTGTCATTTTCTACATATTGAAATCCTTCTATATATATATATATATCTTCATGATTTTGGTATATTTTTTTTTTCTATATGCAAGTATAGTCTAACGAGAAAAATCAATTAATCAACTTAGTATATGATCATGTGTCAAGAAACTTATAAATCACTCATAGTAACAAATCCTTATGGTACATTTCATGTAATTGATTTTTTTTCTTTTGTCAGTATTCATAACTATTTAACCAATCAACTATTCAATTATCTGACCATAATATTCACGGAATGTCAACAATTCTAATATATTATTCGTATAATTCATTTCCATTAGTAAAGAACTAGAACATGTTAAATCTAATAACGCATTAATAGATCCAATATGAAAAACAAAAGAAAAACAAGTACTCCATAAAAAGCAAACCACTATTATATATACAAATGCAGATTACTTGATGTTATTAATAGAAATAAGGTTTTTTTTTAGTGTAGTTCATTAAGTAAAAGACAAAAGACCATCATAAACATCATTAATTCTTATATAACTACGTCGCAAAAAAAAAAAATTTCAAATTACGTTTGACAATGACGTTGGACAAAATAAGAATACCCTCCAGAATTTTCTTTCTAACTTTTGACATTTATTTCGTATTCATCAAAATCAAGGTCAACATTCTAACATCAAGAATGTATGTAAATAATTTGTTAAATCAAAAATTTTTATTGAATTTCTAATGAAACTTTTACTAAGATATCTACTATATAATTTCTTAATGTAATGTGTTCCGTTGTTGTTTAATTAATTTTAGAGTACCAGTAAGTAACCATCTCCGGTTTCTACCATCTGGAAGAGTAATACAGAAAAAAATTCAATTTATTTAAAAGCCAATGCTTTTAGACAAGTTACATGTTTGTAATTCTATAATAACTTTGTTCAAAATCACTTAAATAAACTTTTAAATATCAAAACACTATAATTTCCTTTTTGTTGCAAGAAATTCTTTTCTACTAAATAGAATAGCTTCAATATATTATCTTACTGCATTCAACTGATATAGACATGCCGTCTACTATAGACCTCTAATGTTTTTAATTGGTTGTCTTCTCAGATTAAATATCAATCAATAAATTGATCTATTAATTTTTACATAGCTTTACATCCTTTATTTCACTCTTTCTTACGGTAAAAACTGTCGATCAGTAGCTATTTACGTTCTGAAGCTCATTCAAAAAATAATAGAATATATTATATTTAGCACGGCATAGTAATAATATTCTTCTTTCTGGAAATTTTTTTCGAATTTTTACAACAAAAACTGATTTCATATTATTTTAGATAAGCCACAAGAATAGACGTTTTTTTTATTCTCTAGAACTATTATTTCTTCTTACTAAGGTTTTTGATCTAAGATTGTCAATAATATTTTTATATTGGTAAACTTATTTTCTTTACTTGAATAAAGATTTATCATATCATTTTCTTTTCATCTTATAAAAATTCAAAACTAATATAATTTATTTCTGTTATCTATTCAAAACGAATATTTAATACTATCAGTTGTATAAATAACTTACATACTTGTGATTTTTCTATAAGAATGTTTTATTCATAAAACATTTCTGACGATGAATTATATTAAATGATTGCCTTTTCTTGTATGTCAGTACTTTGCATGACAGAATGCCGAAGAAAAAATAAAAGACAGAAAAAAAAGAAAGACATTGCGGGTGTTAAGGTCGTTCGAATATAAAAATAGTAGAATGGCATTGATAGATCATGATTCTCTTATTCCTTTTATCATAACAAAGCTATTTGTCTTTAGATCTAAATAACAGTTGTTGGATTGGGCAGGTTTTATTTCATAAAAGTAATAGAAAATTAAAAATATTACGATAAATGAAAGACCAGTATAAAAGTATTATAAACATGAAAAAAGAAAATGACAATAACTTCAATCAGGAAATTAAAAAAAAGCAGAATTTCCGGTTGATTGTTGTTACTTTCAAGGTTATGCCTTGAATATATTCTTAAAAATCTTTCCTTTTTTTTCTTACTTGAAGTCAACATATACAATACTTAATATCATTAATTAATTTTGGACAAATCTGTTGAGAACAAAAAATACAACTAATGGTATTCTAGTGATATAACCACATGGATTTTTGAATATTCCTTTTTAATAATTTAAATAATAAATGCAAGAAGATGAACAGATTAATAATAAAATTAAATAATATATATTCCTACATTATTCATTAATTTTCTAGGTCTTTTACAATACATAAGAATTAATCCCTTTGAGATTGAATTGTTGGTATAAAAGAAAGGAGTGATTTCTCTTACGTCTTATTGTATACGTAATCAGATAGAAAAATGCGTGTGAATAAGTTGTTATGATTAGAAAACAATGACCAAAATATTTTCTCGAATAAATGACTAAATATTCCTCAAGGGAAATTAAATATAAAATGCAATATTCGTACATAGATATCTATACTTTTGTTTATGATAAACTTTTTCACATAATTAATAATAACATTTTTCAATATTGAAATCATCATTGTAGCAGAATATTTCAATTCAAGTTTTCTATGTCTTCTATTATGGTAACAATGGCTTCTTGTCACTTCAATATTATAAAGTACAATAGGAAATTATAGAGAAATTCTACTAATTTAAATCATTTTATTTTGTTCTATTTATTGAAATCTCAAATTCACTCTATTTTGTTACTAAGAATATCGTTGATGAATTGTGTTCGACAATTGAACCCTGGAAAAAAAAATTATTTTCTTTTCATATGAAGAAAATCATCTTGTGAGCACTTTTTTTTTCTCTTTAATTTCTTGAATAGCAATTCTCATTATGAATTTGAGTATTCTTATTTTATTTTGTCATAATAAGTATGTCCTTATATTATTCTTCTTAAAATATTTTGCAACATTTTCTTCGTATTTTATTTTTCTATTTGTAATGATTTTGTAATATTTCTATACTTTTCGTGCATCATTAATAATCTATAACTATATTCTATCAAATAATCATTTTGTTTTTGTTTTGTTACTTTTGTTAATAGGTTTTTGTGCATAATTTCCGAAGTTTTCGTGATAATCAGCTAATGATGCACTTTTTTCTTGTTAGCTGAAAATAAGATTTAACAGCTAATTTATGTATATTAAGATAGAATATATTTGTGTATGATTGCTAATGCAATTAACGGAATAGCAAGAAATAAGTCTCCAATGATTAGTTTCTTAATGAATAGATTTAACATGAATTTATCAATTTTTAATCGATAATCAATATGACATCGTCTATCTATCGTAAATAGACCAACACTGACAAAGAATTTGGAAATTGAATATATTTCAATAATTTGACTCTGATAGAATATGTTTATCATTCCTATGTAGTTTTGATAATTATGTAAGATTATTAAAGTAAATAACATTCATTATTAATCAATCGATTGAACTTGTTAACATATAATTAAATAAAGAAATTCTTAATAATTTTTCAATATTGTTATCAATTTGTCCTTGTCATATGAATTAATTCTCGAAGATACATGACATCTAATCCTTTTCTTTTTTTTTTCTCTTAAATCATCTTTTTCCGTATTATTTAATCAATAACGATATTGGTTGTCAAATATAATTGATTGACACCGGAAAAATAACCACTACCAAGATAATATATGCTGATAGATTTACTCTCGTTTTATTTATTTATTCAAATTTCAATCTAATACATCGATTATAAATGTCTCAATGAATGTAAAATAGCATGTGTGGGATATGTGATTTTTTTTTTATTCTGTGTATATCTCTTTTAATAGTATGACAAAAAAATGCGGTTCACCATATGTTAAATCATAGATGAACGAAAGCCTACAAAAACATTTGTTATTTTAACCTCGCATAGCATGAAATGCTTGTGGAGCATATCGTCTATTGTAGAAACGATCATGATGTGGTCGATGAGAAAGACCTTCTTCTTGTATAAAAGCAGGATCCAATAGGAGATTTAAAAACCGACTTTTGGACAACGTTGGATGTTTAATAGTATTTATATCATGAATTGATGATGATAATGACAATCGAGATGGTAAAGGATCATCATGATTATTTTGACCATAAAAATCTTTGTCGTTGTCGTCAACATTTTTGCTAATATCATCAATTGATGAACCAAATACATATGCTGGTGATGATGAGCAACACGAAAACGAGCAGACAACCACAAGAACGATCAATGTTGACATGTAGATTTGTTTGGATGATGATGAACTTTTACAACTTAACATAAAAAATGCCATATCTGAAATGAAATTAGATTTTATTTATAAAATAAATTATTTTCAAGAAAAAGAAATCAGCTGATCTCATTATCATCTTCAATGTATCAATAGGTGAGAAACATGACTGATAAGAGAAGTACCCGAGATGTCCACTTCCGTTTTGACTCATTCATATTTCATCCAGTAGAGTTATATTGAGATATGATTTCGAGTTCGTAGCGTACTGGCGAAGAATTATGACCGTTTTACTGATAGTCAGACATTCAAAAAAAAACCAAAGTGAAGAGTTTTGATTTGCAATTGAGCCTATAGATCGATTTAATTGTCATTAGATAATTCTGAAAGTTTTAACACGGAACAAACATATCTTTACTGTGGAAGGACACAATAATCCACGTTACTTGAAAATTTTAATCATCTCGAGAAAGATATGTTCATTTTCGGTGAAAATTTCAGGACTATCTAATGACAATTAAATCTTTTGTATAGGCAATGTTTCAGATCAACATTCTTCAGTTTAGTTTTTGTGTTATCTCAATCTATTCTATCGAATAATGTATTAATGAGTCAAAATGGAAGTGAATACTTTCCCCGTTAGTTGGTTTCATGTACAAGATGTGTAAAAATATTTTTCCGCGGAAGTAATGCTGTGATTTCAAATAACATCAACAAAAATTTTTATATCAAATGAAAGCGCGTCAAAAATGGGATTCACTAATACTAAACAGTAACCGTTAGGATAATTTTTTCAGTGACAAATTCAGAAAATTTCTACTATCAGAAAAAAATTTCTTTCGTGAGACAGTTCAAACTAGATTTTATCTAAAATCATGAATATAGAAAAGTAATAGACACTTGATCTGCAAAAATATTGAAACAATAATCAAAAATGAAACTGAAAATAATGACTATCAGACACGAAACACAATCATTTTGATGAAGAAACTCAAAAGAAAAAAAAAACATATTTCATATCTTTTAACAAACATGAAAACACATATTGGACTGTTTGAAATTATTTTATGTTCATATCCGTCTCATCTTCCTGCTGTAACAATGATAATGGTCGTCATACTGATTATTGATTATGTTGATAAACTCTTAACAAAATAAATATTACTTTTTGATATTCATAATTTTAAATAAGATCTAGTTTGAACTGTCTCACGAAAGAAATTTTTCTCTGACAATATAAGTGTAAAATTTTAGAAATTTCTTGAATTTGACACTAAAAAGTTATTCCAACGCTTACGATTTAATATTAGTGAATCCCATTTTCGACGCGTTTTTATTTGATATAAAATTTGTTGTTGATGTTATTTAAAATCGCAGCGTTACCCTCCTGAAAAAAACATTTTTACACACTCTGTACAGTATAAGAGAAGAGTATCTAAGAAAAATGTTTTTTTTTTCTGCTGTCTAGTAACGCAGGAGAAATCGTATTTCATAAAATAAAGCAATCTTTCAATAAAAACAGTCACAAGAGTGTAATCCAATATTTTTCTTCAAAAAAAAAAAAATTGTTTACAATTGCTATCCGTTGTCAACTTAAAATGTATTGATTTATTCGTATACTTTAACCCTATAAAAATGGTGTGAGAAGAAAAAAAAAGAGAATCATGCACACACAACATCAACATATATATCTCTCAATAATTTACTTCGACAGGATATTTCAATATTTTGATTTACGGATTACCTGTCTATTGTATTCGTTACATTAAATCCTCTAAATATATATTAAAATGATTTACATTTAATAAAAAAAAAGAAAATATTTTTCATTGTAGCTATCCGAAAAATATTAAATAGAAACGAGAAATATGTTCAAACTTGAAAGTGACGACATACAAAAAAAAAAGTGCATCATTGAGGTGATGTTTATCTGATGAAAATTAGTAGATCATGGACAAATTTCTCTAGATAGAAAAGCATTGATTAAAGAATTCTCAAGAGTTATAAATTAATAAACATAGAAACATTTTTTCATGATATAATTCAAAATTAATAGTAGATTATTTGAGTACATTATCTAACACTAATATATGGTTAATTTCTCAAATGATAAAAACAGGTACTTCAAGTAAAATATTCTTCCTATTTAAATAGTACAAGACAAATATTTAGACTTTTGATCGACAAAAAATTTCATCAAATATATTATTTCTTGAAGCACAGAAGGTGCCTCAAACATGTAGATGTAAATAAAAAAAAACTCCGATGAAAAATATGAAATTCGTACAAGACAATTGATGATATAAAGAATTTTAATTATGAAACTAAGCTATGTCTCAAAGTTTTCTTGTTACTATTTTTCTCGTAGTTCTCAACTTGTTTGATAATCGTTTATGTATATTTCTTCTCTGTTCTGTCTCTTCCAAATTCATTCAAATGGAACTAACAAATAGTACTCGAACTTTTTTACTTTCTAGAACTCTCATTGGTTATGTAAAATGCATAAAACTTTGAATAATTTTGATAAAATATTTAAAGAATCATTTCATTTAAAAAGGTAATGCAATTTTAAATACAAAATCATATAATTAAACTTTTTAAAATAAAAATTTGACTATACTTCGAATGTCTAATGTTTCTCGGTTACTTTTTATTTCATTAATTCTAAATACTTAACTGTAAATTTCAAAGCATAAAAATATATTGAAATACAAAAATATTTTCATTCATCACTTCAAGGTAATAGCAAAAAAAGAAAGAATGTTTAATTTTAAAAAGTTATCCTGAGTTTAGAAATAATAATAAAAAATTCTTTTCACAATAATTATGTATTTTTCCTGATAAAAGAAAATTTGATGGATATAAGTAGTAAATCGAAGAATATTTAATATAATCTTTAAGTTCAAATTATAACTTACCTATGTTCAATATTGAATGACTAAAAAAAAGTTCCTTTTCCTTCGTAAAAAGTTTCTGAAGAATGCAGAATTTTTTAACCTATCTCGCTTTAGTTTTCTACGTCAAGGAGAACAACATATAATTAAAATTTTTAGAAAATTAACACTTTATGTAATGCCTATTAGTAGGTTCTTTTTTCAGCTTCATCGATTTTCTTCGTCTCTTTAACTTATTATACATGTTGATTAAATTTCCTTACAACTTAATAAAAAAAAAAACCTCGCCTACATAGTAAAAAAAGTTCAATTTGATCCTGTTTTACCAAAGTAGTTGATTAAGAAAATGATTTTCTTCGAAAAAAAAACAGGGCTTGACAACTTTTATACAATTAGAGGCTTATAATAAAAAAAGCTTATTATTTATATGAGCTATAACGACTTCTAAAAATAGTTTCCAAAAAAAAAAAACTGCAATTCATTATGATTATTATATTAAACTAGATGCGTATTAAAACCTACGCATATAGATGTTCAAAGTATTCTAAAAATAATAATTAGTTTGCTTAATTACTTTACATGTTATATAACTCAGATATATTCGATGTATAAACGAAATAGATTTTTATTTGTGAACTGATAAATTATTAAGTTCTTACTGAATACGAATGATGAAAGTTGTTTGCTGTTTTTAGAGCTCTTCATATAACTTCAAATGATCAGAACATATTCGAAAACTTATTATCTTTTATTCTTTCTATTTTTATTTTTTTATTTTTCAAGTTATTCATGCATATATACATATAAGTAATAAATCAATTCGTCTTTATTTATTGTAAAACATAAATGATTGATCTGGAAATAGTGATTATCTTTTAATGTGCTCTAACTTTAGATCTTGTTGCAAAGAATAATAAATTAGAAATTTTCATACAAACTATATCAAATAAGCATGTCAAACATTTGCAAATAACAATTTTGTATATTTCTTTTGTTTTATTCTAATGATAATATTAAAAACAAGAAGCTTCTTTTTTTGTTTTATACTAAACATAGGTTTTTCTATTTTCTTTTTCTTTTTCAATAATTATATACTTTTGTCAATAAAGTCTACTTACATATAGATGAAGTTAATTAACAAAATCTCCCTTCAATTTTGACAGTCTTTCGCATTTCAGTTCCATGATGAAGAAAAAAAACAACTACATTTCCTTTTTTCTTTATTCTCATACAACAATTTTACCAAATATAACGAAACAAATGATAGAAATTTCTTGTTTTTTTTTTTCTATATAAATATCGTTCATCGATCATACTTACAATAACAAGTACGACAAAAATCCATAATTGATCAAATAAAAAAAAAAAAAGGCGAGGGTCAAAAAATTTATGCTCGATTTACTTAAATCTAATATACGAAGTATATACGCACTGTATCTCCGATCGAAATCAAATGATAGAGTCTGTTGACAATATCTACATATAATAGTTTCATAAGCATTTCTCGAATCGAACAGAAATCATGACAGCAAACTTGTCTATTTTAAGAACACTTGTAAACAGGAAATGGTAACGAATGAAATGATACAAACATCACTAACATGGAATCGTCGAACGGAAATCAGAACGACGATATATACTGACAACATCAATAACATCCATTTTCTTTTCAATTGTTTGTACTAAAAATATCGCAACAAGATTATTATAAAAAAGATTTTTTAAAAAATTGACATAATTTTACTTATATCAATAAAAAGAAAAAGGTATTTTAAAAATTAGGTTAGGTTTAATATCGTTTGAATAAAAATATATTTTATTAATTTGAATAAATTATTAAAATTACAATTTACTAATCCCTTCAGAACCCGTGACAATTCTGAACCAACTCATTGATGATTTGCACATTTTTATTTCGTTCGTATATTCAAATAGTAGCAATTAGAAAATTAACAAGAATGTAATGAATAAAATTACTAACAAATTAAATTCAAAAAGTAAATAAAAATCGTAAAGTTTGAAATATTTTTATTTCTTGTTTTTTTTTTTGAAGTAATTCCCATCCTGAAGGTATTAATCATTTATTGATGATGATTATTTTCTTTTTTCAATTTAATGAATGAAATGTAATCCTTTGATTATTACATAGATTTAGTTGAGAAAACAAGT